GAGAGAGGGTCGAGGATCGAGGTTCGATGTAGGACGGAGGATGGATCATCGATGATCGAGGGTCGCTCGAGGATCGAGGATCTAGATTCGATTGGAAATCAAGGAGTCCTTCGCCGTTTTCGGCCTCCACTCGGGAACTGTCAAAAGACTGCCTGGGCCGAAAAGTGTGCCCCTGGTACGGGTCACAGAGGTCTAGGGCCCCGCGTTGACAAGACATCGGATGTATGGGACTCTCGGGAACTCAGCCAGCAGCTCGTTGTCTTGATGTCGCTCCTGGCGCAACAGGTGACGGCTTCACAATGGCTCCCAAGCCTGGCCATGCCAGCCTGAGGGGAGCCAAAGGGGATGAGGTGACCCCGCACGGGAGACCTTTCGGGAAACAACGCGGGAAGACCACGGGCAACGAGCCGCCCATTCCGGATCAGGTGGAGCTCACACGTGCCTTAGAAGGGTGATGCAGGACCCTTACAGCCAAGTCCTTCAAGGAAGACCTATCCCCAGGAAGCTGTTGGGAGGTCCAGGGATCCCGCCCTCAACAAAACAAACTGGACATCGGAGGCCCGGCTATGCCTGTCGGGCGATGGCGGCAGTGGGCGTGCTCATGGTGTGCCCGTCGCTCCCCAGCCTGGGAGATCTGGAGAGCACGTGAATCGACTTCGGCCGCGAACGACGATCTCCGCGGCCGAAGTCGATTCCGGAGATGCCCCGAGCACGGAGAAGTCGACTCTCGATCTGGAGGGCACGGAGAGCTGTCCGCGGACGACGCTCTCCGCCGGGGGCCCCCCCCCCCGAGGCCCACTGAGGCCGCGCGCGAGGCCCAGACAACAGAGCAGGATGGGTCCGCCCACCTCCAAGACGCTCACGAGGGCTTCCTGGCGGCAGGGCCCGTCCGGGGCTGCTGGTGCCGCGCAGCGGCCCCAGACGGCCTCGCCGCAGACGCCTCTCCGTCGGCCCACCGCCGTCGCCCACCGCCGTCGCCCGCGGCCTCGGCTGCCGCCTCCGCGGGCGCGAGGCCCAGCGCCCCCGCCGGCCCGCTCTGGCCGCCACCTGCCGCACACCAGCGCGCCGCGGACGTGCGCGCCGGCGGCGTCGTCGTCGGCTGCCGGACGAGAGGCAGCGAGCGGTCTCGGCCAGGAGAAGCTCGGCCAGGCTGAACGCGGCCAGCCAAACTCGGCCAGGCGGAGCTCGGCTGGCTGACCAAGGCCAGGCTGAACTCGGCCGAGATGAACTCGGCACGGGCCGCTCAGCCTGGCCGAGTTCAGCTGGCCGAGTTCAGCCTGGCCCATTTTGTCCTGGCCGAGTCTTCCTCCTTGTCAGGGGGGTGGCGCCGCCCCTGGACGGTCCGAGGTTCCTGCTCGCGCTTTTCCGGTTGGCGGCCGAGAGGGGGGTGATGACAAGAGTGGGGAATAGCATGGCGGGGGCAGGATATCTCCCAGTTCTCGTGGCCCCTTATTGTACTTGTGTTGCCTGTCTTTTGGCAGAAGCATGCTTATTGTTGTTATGAGTTGGTTTGGGTTAGTAGTATTATTCGTTATTTGTTTATTCGTATTGGTTTTAGCGTGAGCATTCGTGGTAATTGGTATTACTAGTAAGATCACTATTGTTTTAAGTAGTAATAGTAGTAGTAGTAGTAGTAGTAGTAGTCGTCGTCGTCGTCGTCGTCGTCGTCGTCGTCGTCGTCGTCGTCGTCGTCGTCGTCGTCGTCGTAGTAGTAGTAGTAGTAGTAGTAGTAGTAGTAGTAGTAGTAGTAGTAGTAGTAGTAGTAGTAGTAGTAGTAGTAGTAGTAGTAGTAGTAGTAGTAGTAGTAGTAGTAGTAGTAGTAGTAGTAGTAGTAGTAGTAGTAGTAGTAGTAGTAGTATAGTAGTAGTAGTAGTAGTAGTAGTAGTAGTAGTAGTAGTAGTAGTAGTAGTAGTAGTAGTAGTAGTAGTAGTAGTAGTAGTAGTAGTAGTAGTAGTAGTAGTAGTAGTAGTAGTAGTAGTAGTAGTAGTAGTAGTAGTAGTAGTAGTAGTAGTAGTAGTAGTAGTAGTAGTAGTAGTAGTAGTATTAGTAGTACTCAGACGGAAGGACCCCGCATGAGAATCCTCTGGGCGAATCTGGAAAAAGCGCTCACCGTCGTCCTCGTGGTTGGTGAGGCGTCCTGACTGTCTCTTCTGCGTATATTTCTTCTCGCCCTGGCGCGGGCCCTCCCCCCGCTCCCTACGTTGCCCCCGACCTCGCCCTCCTGTTTTTTTCGCGCCCCGCCACCGCCTCGCCTTTCCATTGCACGAGCGCGCATGTCGGTTTTCCTCGGCGCCGTCGCCGCCTCGGCCAGCACAGGCGCGTTTCTAATGGCCACGTCGCGCAGCCGTTGGGACAACCCCGCGGGCCAGGCTGTCGGGACAACCCCGCGAGCCGTTTGCGCGCAAGACCAAGCCGTTGGGACAACCCCGCGGGCTTCGAGCGGGGCGCAGCCGCGCTCAGGCGGGCAGCACGAAACCCAGCTCTGCCGCGAGCTGCTTCG